TTACATGGAGTTTTAAATTGTAATTTTTTTTCATGTTTTCTTGTTTCCATTAAATCACTAAAATACAGTTTTTCCTGACGATATATTATTTACCCATATAATAAAACATAAACTATGATAGTAGTTTTACCTACTTGCAAAGCAGTTTATTATCATGAAATGTAGGACATGAGAATTTTAACAAGATACTGTGTTAGATTTGGCCTTCACAAAACTGTGATACCAAGATAAACTGATTGAATAAACATCAGATAATATAGTTGGCACAGAAGTCATTTTTATTATACCTGAAGTCAGATCAAACTTAATTTCATGATTATAATAAATGGCAATTCTTCACAGTCAAAAATCATGAGTATTTTCAAATAATTGTGATTTACAGGAAAATAATTATATTGTTCGTTATAATAAGAGATGTTCTCATTCTGTATCTCACATTGCCTTAGAGATATAAATTTTACAAATATCTTAGATATGTGAACAGGATTACCAGAAAGAAAATGATTTTTCTGAAATTCGTAGTTTGCATTTCAATCCACAAAAAAATAAAAAGGATGAAGCCTTTAATTCTGGTAGGCTACAGATACCTTGAGGTAAAGAAACAATATGAGGGAATGGCTGATAGTCACTTACTCAATTAACCTATCATATTGCAATTATGTTCCTCCTCTGATGATATCAGAGATATCATCATGAAATCTATATAAAATAAACATAGGAAAACATTTTAAAGCATTTAAACATGAAACTCATAAAAGTACATTCCACAACTTTTCTAAATTTCTTTTTGCCATCTACATATTTATTTAGCACCCACTGTTTGTAGGCTAATATCCTAGGTACCACGCATATAAAGACAGATTAGACAAAATATCTTCCCTTTAGGGTTTATAGTTCAGCTGGGAAGGCAATGATAAATTTCAGAAGAGATAGGTAAGGTATATCAGCAACTCTAACAGAATCATATACGTTGTGTGTTAAGATGCACATTCCTTGGCTCACTCTCCAGATTTTAAATCAGCATCTCAAAATAATTTTCAGGAACTTGCATAACATCCCAAGGACTGTGACTCTCAGTAAAGTTTGAGAATCACTGGTAAAAGTTAAACCCATATGATACTGACATACAGTAAGAAGTTGACAGGGTTCAATTTTCTCTTAAAGAATGAAATACAGTGGTGCTCGCTTCAGCAGCACATATACTAAAATTGGAATGATACAGAGAAGATTAGCATGGCCCCTGAGCAAGGATGACATGCAAATTTGTGAAGCGTTGCATATTTTTAGACTGGACAGGGAAAATGTGGCACATATACACCATGGAATACTATGCAGCCATAAAAAACAAAGAGTTCATGTCCTCTGTAGGGACATGGATGAACCTGGAAACCATCATTCTCAGCAAACTGACACAAGAACAGAAAATCAACCACCACATATTCTCACTCATAGGCGGGTGTTGAAAAATGAGAGCACATGGACACAGGGAGGGGAGCACTACACACTGGAGTTTGTACGGGGGAACTAGGGGAGGGACAGCAGGGAGTGGGGAGTTGGGGAGAGATAACATGGGGAGAAATGCCAGATACAGGTGATGGGGAGGAAGGCAGCAAACCACACTGCCATGTGTGTACCTATGTAACAATCTTACATGTTCTTCACATGTACCCCAAAACCTACAATGCAATAAAATATATATATAAATGAATGAAATACAGTGAAAAAAATAAAATTGTAATTATTCACAATTCACACTGATATTGCCTCAATAAAATACCAAAGGCACTCTACAAATTACAAGAGTTTAATAAAGACAAAGGATTTACAACCATTAGACAAAAATTAACAGTCTTATATTTAGAATTAGAAAATGTAATTTAAAAATACATGTATCAGGCTAGGCACAGTGACTCATACCTGTAATTCCAGCACTTTGGGAGGCTGAAGATGGAAGTTCTCTTGAAACCAGGGGTTTGAAACCAGTCTGGGTAACATGCCAAGATCCTGTCTCTATAAAAAGTTAAAAAATTAGCCCCCGGTAGTGGTGCATGCCTGTAGTCCTAGCTACTCTGATGCTGAGGCTGGAAGACTGCTTGAGCTCAGAAGTTAAAGGCTGCAGTGAGCTATGATTGGGTCACTACAGCCAGGGCAACAGAGTGAGACCCTGTTTATATTAAAACAAAAAACAAAAAAACAACCATTGATAATATTGGCAATAATTATAAGGTTCCTAACAATAAGCATAATAAAATATGTGAAAGACCAATAGAGAAAAAATGAAAACTTCATTAAAAGAGAAGATTTACACAAATGGAGATGTATATTCATGGATGGGTTACCTCAATATCGAAAAGATGACAGATTATTCCTAAATAACTTTAAGATAAAATAAAAATCCTGCCATAGCTTTTCACTGGAAACAAGAAAACAAGAAAGACTGCTGCTTTTCAAGTGTACACAAAATAGTAAAAGAAAAAGAAATCATAAAGCAGGACACATAGACAGTGGAATGGAATTAAGAGCCTAAACACAGAACCCATGTGTATGGGATTTTAGCAAATGAGGGAAGGAGGGATAACCTCTTCCCTAGTCTCACTCTTGGTTCTCTTAGCCATTCTCATACCTTTCAGTGTCATCTGGAAAGTGACTACACCCAAATTTATATTACTAGCCCACACCTCTCTATCTTGACCTCCAGACTGGCGTAATCAACTACCTACTTGACATTCATTCCCATTTACCTATCCATGGGATAGGCATCTCAAATTACAGCAATGCCAAACAACTCCTGACCTGCCCTTATCTCTACTTTGTTCTTTCACAGTTTTTCTTTTCTCATTCAGTAAATGGCAATTCTTTCCTTCCAAGGCAAAACACTGTGGAATCATCCTTGACTTCCTTTTTTTCTCTCTCATAGCCCATACCAAATTCTCAGGAAATCCTGTTGAGACTACCTTCAGAATGTGTTTTTAAAATCTTACCATTTTTCACTACTATCAACTTGGTCAAAGCCACCTTTATCTCTGATCTGTATTTCCCAAGAGCCTCCTGATTACCTATTGTCTTACTTCTGCCCTTTCTCTCTCCCTCCCTACCCCATGCCCTATTCTCAAAAAAAGTTGCCAAAATACTCTTTTTAAAATGTCAAAGGATGTCACTTCTCTACTCAAACTGCTTCCTTAACTCTGTGACCTCATTTCTTACTGTCCTTATGTCCTCCCTCACTGAAATTCAGCTGACCTCTCCTCTTTGCTGGTCTATGAATGGAACATCCCAGGCCATGCCTGCAGGGCTTTTAGCCTAGCGGTTCCCATTGCATGGAATGCTGTTACTGGATAGGCACGCAGGTGTATCACCTTACCTGTTCAAAATCTTGGCTGAAATTCCTGCTCCATTGGGGCCTTCCTTAACCACTTTAACATTTAACATAACTCTCCACCTCGAGAAATCCCTATTCCCTTCTGTTCTTTATTTTTCTTCATAGCACTTATCAAACCCTGAACACTACATTTTTTACTTCTTTATTCATTTATTGTCTGTCATCTCCAACTAGAATGAATGTACAGTCCCTGAGAATGGGGAATTTGTTTTGTTATGTACATGCTGAAACATCAGAGCCTGGAACATGGCAGCACTCCAGTATTTGTTAAATAAATGAATCCATTTGAACTTCTGCATTTTGAAATTTCATAAGTATATATAAATGGTAAATAATGACAAACTCAAAGTCAAGTATCATTAAGCAATTGTCTCCCATTCCCAAAAGACTTCCGAAATCTACTAAATGATCTTTTTTTTTTTAACATAAAAGCAAAGTTATCTAAAAGGAGAAAAGTTGTTTTGACTTTGAGATTCTTTGCAATTTAAGCCTTTTTTTTTTTTTTTTTTTTGCTTTCCTTTCAATGGACACTTTCAAAGTTTTACATAAAACATGAAAACTTCCTGTTCAATTTAGTAGGATTAAACCGTTGAAGGCAATCCCTGCATGTGAAGAAAACATGCTTCCGGCCCCTGATTTTTTTCTCCCTACCCATCCTCTCTGGTTGTCCTGATGCTCCCCGCCCCCTTTTGTGTTTCTTGATTGCATGCTGAGAACTCACAATACAAAGCCCACATTTGTGAGGTGCTTGGGTCATGACTGCAACTAAAAATGGTCATTTATTTATTTATTTATTTTTAGGTTTCTGGACAGCACAACGCCAGCCTTTGGTTTTGCCTCAGAAGCAGGGGACTTCTCTGGGCTATTTTGCCTTCCAGCTCTTGACGCCATGACTCCAAATCATACCAGCGATTAGGAGGTATGTATCATTACCAGACACAAGGCCTGGTGCGTTTAAAAAATAAAGAAATAAGCCAAGCGCAGGTGCACACGCCGAACGCTCATCCCCACCCCACATTCCAATCCCACAGTAGATAACGAGAAATGAATTTGCTAGATAGACTTCGTTCCTGCAGCAGTTGCTGTTACCAGAAACAGTTAGATCATATACAATATACTCTTCTTTGCTCTAAAAGTCCTCTCCCCATGGCCCCCACCCAGACTGCAGCAACTCTCTAGTTTCTTATTCGTTATAAGCAGGGGATGGAGCAGAGCCAAGTCGGCCTTCCTCTCCCAGGGCCTTCTCCTCTGGGTCTGGCCTCCATTTTAGATGTGAATTAACGCTCCCAATACCCTTTCAGCAGCAGGGAGTCCCCTTTTCCTCAGCCCCAGCCTCAGCCTCAGCCTCATCTAGGTTTTCCTAATTTCGGATTTTTCTACAACTCATTCTCAAATGACACACGCATGACGACCATTTCCACTTTGCCATGTCAGCCTGGAGATGTCTCCCAAGTGATGGCATCTGCGCTCGGAAAGAAGGGTAAAAGGTGCCACAACCAGCCCCACTAGCCCAGAGCGGCAGGTGGGCGCCAGTCCCAAGCGTCAGGGCGCGCGGCTGAGGCGAGGCGAGCGCGGCCCCCGCCGTCCCTCCCGGCCGCTCCCCGCGCGCCGCCCCGGCTCCTCCCTCCGGCCCTCGGCTGGCACCTGGCGGCGGCGGACAGGGGGCGGCGCTGCGCGCGTCAGGCGGCTGGGTGGGAGAGCGTGCAGGTGACACCCGGCGGCCTCCTCCCCTTTCCAGCCCGGTCGGCGGTCGGGACGGCAGGGGCCGCTGTGAGGAGCTCCGCGCTCTCGCCGCCCGCCGCAGCCCTTCGCTCCCGCGCGCGCCCGGCGCTTCGGCTCCGCACCCCGTGCGGTGAGTGCGGGGCCCCGGGCCCGCGGGCAGGGGCCAAACTTTCCCGGGGCGCGGAGGCGAAGAGACGGGGGCGGGAGGCAGAGCAGAGGGAACGGCGTCGGGAGCGGCCGGGGGGAGGAACTTGGGCGCGGCGCGAGAACTGGGATCCGGGGGCCCCGGGAGCCGGGCCAGGCCCTCCGTGGGCTCGGGAGGCGCTTGGGAAGTTCTGTCCCCTCCGCCTGCGCGTGGGGAGGGCCGAGGCCCTTTTCCACTGGAACGCGGGGCCGCGGTGCTCACCTGCGCCTTCTCCGGGAGCCCCCTCCCGCCAGCATCTCGAAGGGAAGATTGGGCGGGCGGGCGCGCCGCGGAGCGGAGCCTGGACTGGGGTCCCGCGCGGCGCCGGCCCTGTGAAGCGGAGCGGGAGGGGCAGCGGGACGAGGAGGGAGAAGGACCTGCTCGACCTTGGACGCGGAGGTCGTTTTCCCAGCTCCGGGGTCTGGCCTCGCTACCACCCCCCAAATTCTCGAACCCCTTTCTTTCTGTTTCCTTCCTTCCCTTTTGAGCGCTTTTTGGGCTCCCGCGGCCGGATGAACTCGGGGCGCTGCCCTGGGAGTGGGGTGCTGTCCCTCCGGCTCCGGAGCCGCATCCTGTCCCGCTGGCTGCTGCTGGCCGGGAGGAGACTGATGAGTACAGCCGCGGAACAGGTCGTGCCGGAGATGGAAACAGGAAAGCCTGCTGTTCTGTCGCCCAGGGTATCGTTCGTTGGGAAATGGGCTCTCTCAAGTCCGCGCTGTTTCAAACTTCACCCCGCGCGGACCTAGCGCGCTTTGCAGCTCCCTGGGGAACTCGGGACGGGAAGGAGCGGGTCTTTACACCTGTCCTGCTCCCTGTGTTGGGAACAGCGCGTTTGAGTCCCGCGCTGACTAAATACTTTTAGCGACCTGAGTTCCTCGCCTCTTTCTTCTGTCTCCCCTCGGAAAGCATGTTCACTTAACCCTGTGCCTTCGGATTACCCATTATTTCACTCCTCACTTTTATTGCTCCCAAAGAGTCATGGATACCTCCGCCTTCTTACCACGCACCTGCTTATTCATTCCCTTTCTTTGTAGTTTCCGTTTGTACTACTGATCAGACATTGGTCTCCCCAAGGTCATCGAGAACTAAATAAAATCCATTCCTCACCCCGTGGCAGACATTTATCAGTGCCTAGGTGCCAGGCACTGATCTCAGTTCTTGTATTAAAGCTTTTAATCTTCACAACGATCATGTGAAGTAGATATTAATATTCTCATTTTAATGATGAGGAAACTGAGGCACGGAGAGGTTAAGTAACATGCCGAAGGCCACACCCATCTCAGCAGTAGGAGAGTCCAACTCTGGGGCTCTGTCTCCAGCACTGGAGCTAGAGTTCCTTTGTTCGTCCTTAATTTCTGAAGTCCCGTGCTGTTTCAGTCATCGTTCACCAGGCTGCCAATCTCAGATCCCTCTTTTCCTTCGTATGTGTCTTTATACTAGTTTAGCCTCCCCCCTCCAACCCCCCCCCCACTTTTTTGTTGTTGTTTAAGAAAAATAGATCTACAGAACTTCGATACTTCATCTCTCACCTGTGTTTATCTGGCTTAACTCTCACCTGTACTTATCTGGCTTGAGATTCTGTGCTTTCCACATCTTCTTCAGTTTTAGTGTAATACCTCTCAGTGCACATGGTAATATTTCACTTGGACTTGCCTGGCTTTTCCCCAAAACAACTCTATATACTCATTTCCATTAATGGTCCTGCCATTATCCTGGTCTCCAAGGGTGCCCTGTCTCATGCCGTTCCTCTCTAGTTCTGAAATACCTTCTATCCAATTTTTACGTGGTCTCTTACAGCCTTTATCAGTCTCACCCATTCCCATCCTCTCTTCACCACTCTCCCTCTTCCCCACCCTGAATACATCATATACCCTCTTCTACTGTTCATTATCATTTTTTATGTTTGCTTTCCACGAAAAGATTGCAGACAACTTAGGACATTACATCTTTAGGCCTTATAGCTAGTAGTTGCTTGATAAATGTAGAATATGATACAGTATAAATTTTGGTAGCATAGATCAGGCAGGTTTGATGATGGTGGAAGTTTTTAAGCCAGGTGTTTACAGTATGTTAAGGAGTTTGCCTTGGTAGATGTGGAGGAACTGTAGACATTGTAGATGAAGGGGAAAAAAGCCGTGTTCACTCCATTGTCACAAACAGGTACCTAGCTCTCCTGATGAAACATTAATTTTAGAGGTATAATGAAGCAGGGCAAATCAGCAGAGAAACATTTATCCTTATCTTGACAAAACAAAATATGAAAACACAGGAAGTTAAAGAAAACCCCTTTTTTATTGAAAAATATAGCATATACATAAAAGTACATAAAACATAAATGGACAGATTAACACAGTAGATGTATTCAGCAGTAGAACGACTGTGTTATTCTGGCTGTAGATAGATAGTCAGATTAGGCTGCAGTCAGACCAGACAGGAATATGTTCACAAAACCTGTGTATGGTGAAGTAGACCTGGACTGCTCCCGAGGGACATTGTCAAGAAGGAATTGGCTGTGCGTGGGGAGGCTTGAGGGGAGGAGAAAATAAGAATGGAAATTGGTACCAAAAGGATAAGATCAGGGAGCCAAGAAGAGAGTTCTGACCCACTGAGCATAATTCTACCACAAGGACTATTTAGCCATGTTGCCTTTGTCTCTCTCTTTATTTCTGTGCATATTTTTCTATATCGTGCTCTGTGTAGAATTTTACTATTCTCGGGCTGGGCACAGTGGCTCACACCTGTAATCCTAGTACTTTCAGAGGCTGAGACAAGCAGATCACCTGAGATCAGGAGTTTGAAACCAGCCTGGTCAAAGTGGCGGAACCCCATCTCTACTAAAAATACAAAAGTTAGCTGGGTATGGTGGCGCATACCTGTAGTCCCAGCTACTTGGGAGGCTGAGGCAGGAGAATCCCTTGAACCTGGGAGGCAGAGGTTGCAGTGAGCTGAAATCTCGCCACTGCACTCCAGCCTGGGTGACAAAGCAAGGCTCTGTCTCAAAAATAATAATAATAATAATAATTTTTTTTAGTATTCTGTGTTTCCCATATAACACCTAGTAAGCATTTTTCATCTTATGTAATTTTTAGAACTCATGTTGTTTGTATTCTAGTAATCATAATATAATTTACTTAACTAATTACTCTATTGTTTGACAAGTATATTAGCAACAAATTATAAAGAAGCTTAAGTTGTAGTAATACTTATCTTTGCAGCTGTATCATTTTACAGATTGGGACTTGTTTTCTTATACTACTATTCCAGAAGCAGAATTACTTCATCAGCAAGTATGGTCATTTTTATGGTTCTTAATATACATGGTTAGATTTCTAAAAGCAATTTTAAAAATAGGATCAATGCATTTTGCCTAACTTTTCTCTCTGTGAAGTAACAGCAATTCAATTCAACATGAACAGTATTATTAAATGTTGTATCAGTTTCCTCAGGCTGCCATAACAAAGTACCACAAACTGGATAGCTTGTAAAAACAGCAATTTATTGCCTCACAGTTCTGGAGGCTATAAGTCTAAAATTAGGTTGTCAGCAGTGCTGATTCCTTCTGAAAGCTCTGGGGGAGAATTTGTTCCCTGCTTCTGCTAGGTTCTGGTGACAGCAGCAGTCCCTGGCATTCCTTGTGCTGGCATCACTCTAATCTGTGCCTCGGTCTTCATATGCATTCTCCCTAGGTGTCTGTGTCTTCACATAACCATTTTATAAGGACACCAGTCATATTGGATTTAGGCCCACCCCACTCCAGTATGACCTCATTTTAACATCTGCAAAAATTAAATTTCCAAATAGTAGCACACTGTGAGGTACTGGGGGTTAGGATTTCAACATATCCTCTTTGGGGCACACGATTCATTCTGCCAAAGGGTCTTGAAGTGTGTATAAAAGAAAGCCTCTATCTTTCAAATAATTTCTAGGCAAATTGAGAAAGTAGGATTTTTTTCTAATTATTGAGATTTGTTTATTCTCCATGATGTGTACCACTCGTGCTTATGAGTTCTAAGATACGAAGGATGCTTTTTTGTCCCCTGAGACAGGGTCTCTCTCTGTCACCCAGGCAGGAGTGCAGTGACACAGTCATGGCTCACTGTAGCTTTAGTCTTCAGACTCAAGCAGTCCTCCACTTCAGCCTCCACAGTAGCTGGGACTACAGACACATGCCACCAGGCCCGGCTAATTTTTTGTATTTTTTATAGAGATAGAGTCTCACTGTGTTGCCTACATTGGTCTTGAACTCATGGGCTGAAATGATCGTCCTGCCTCAGCCTCCCAAAGTGCTAGGATTCCAGACTTGAGCCACTGCACACAGATTGGAAGGATGCTGTTTGCCAAACCTGTAATTCTGGAGCCATTGTGAATGCGGCAGCATGTTAAATTGAGAATAGCCAGGATTTCAGTAAGATATATCACATAGCATGGAAAGAAGCATGCCATAAATGCACTTTTAGAAATATATGTTACATGTGTTTCAGTGACTCATCCAATTTTGGCCATACACAGTTACAAAAAGTTGAACACTAACACCAATCAAGCATTTTATAACATTCATCTTCTAAAAAAATTGAAATTTCCATTATTTCTAATTGATTTCTAAAAGTACATGTTATTACATTGGCAAGTGAAATCACTCTTTTTGTAAATGATAGAAGTTGGCATACCATCATAATTTTTTTTTTTTTTTTGAGACAGAGCCTTGCTCTGTCGACCAGTGCAGTGGTGCAATCTTGGCTCACTGCAAACTCCGCCTCCCAGATTCAGCAATTCTCCTGCCTCAGCTTCCTGAGTAGCTGGGACTACAGGCTCATGCTACTATGCCTGGCTCATTTTTTTTTTTTTTTTTTTTTTTTTTTTTGTATTTTTGTAGAGATGAGGTTTCACCATGTTGGCCAAGCTGTTCTCAAACCCCTGAACTCAGGTAATCTGCCAACCTTGGGCCT